GATTATTTCTTGTCTTAAAAGCCCAAAGGAAAAGGATGAGCTCTTTAGGAAATCAGTGGGGCACAGGGTTAGGCTGAAGAGCAGAAGATACCAAGATAACTGCAGAAGTCAAGAAGAAAACTCTGAGGAGTAGCAGGTTTTAGTGCCAGAGAGTCAGCTGTCCAAAAAAACTAAGCTAATAAACAGCAGAAAAGTCTTGTGGTATTTCAAATACTTCAAAGCAACAGACACCATTAAAGCATCTGGTTTTAGCCTCCCACTTACTACTCTACCTCAACTGCTATGGTCAGCATATGGTGTTAATTGTCTTTGATACACATTTAAACAGATTGGTGCTCAGAAACTCTTAAACCTGGTCCACCTCCCTACAAGAAAACCTATCAAGTAGTTCAAGTCCTCTAAAGGAGAGCATAACATTTATGGCAGGCTGGGGGATTTAATGCATAGTTGAAAAAGAAGAACTTCAGTAGCTTTGGGTTTGGTTTTCTTTTTCAATTTTTGGCATGAAGTGTTCTTCTATAAGAGTTTTAGATTATCAGAAGTATAAGTATCCTCTGTCTTGAAGAAAGTTAGAAATAGAAACGCTATTAAACCCAGTCCTGTCCCAGGGAAAAAAAATTAAACATCTCCTAACTCCATCACAACAGCTTCCCAGGATGAAGACCCCTTTACCTGCAGGCTGGTGCAGTTGACAAACAGGACACTGAGTATCAGTCTCTCATAATCCACAGTGTGGTCACAGGACATGATCTCCTCACCACTCACATCTAGGAGGGATGTGGAAAATTAGCCCTGCAGCAGGCAGGTTTCAGCAGGAAGGGCCATGGCAGCAGCAATACGTACCAACAACCCACACATGCCAGGAGTAGTTGCTAAGCTCTCTGGAAAACTCAACTTCCATCCCATGCCTGTGGCAGGTCACATTATCTGCAGAGGGAAGACCACCATGAGCTCCAGCAAACCCCTGAAGGCACACACCCTGCAAGCCCCCCAGCCAGACACCCTTCAGAGCCTCTTCCAGGCCAAGGCAGAGGGAAACAGCCCCAAAAAAACCCAAAACCCACATCCCCACCACAGCCAGCCCAGAGAGGACACATTACCCAAGAGATCCTGATCCCCCAGGCCATCAGCACAAGGGGCTAAGCACAGCAAAAACCCAAACAGGAGCAGCAACCTGCAAAGAAAAGAGAATCACATGAGAGAGCAGCAGGGAAAGAACCCACCTGCCTTGTATCCCAAACCACACTCACCACATCCTTGAGGTGCTCCAGCACTGCTGCTCAAACCCCATCTCTTCAGGGCACCACAAGCTTGGTCTTTGGCTGCCCAGGGAGGGTTTTATAAGCCCTGGGTCTGGCTCACACAGGTGCCACCTCTCTGCTGCCCAGGAAACAGAGCACTTGCACCTGCTGCTCCTTGAGTGGGGCAGCTCACAGGAGCCTTAAGGTAAATACTAAGTCTTTAACAGGGGTTGTTCTATTTGGAAGGCATCCTCTCCTTGCTCTGATAATGTATCCCCTTTATTCCCATGTTAGATATTTTGTAGAAAAATGCATGTCTGTTTTGGCAGTTATTTTTTAAATGGAGTTTTCTGTGCCAGCATGACAGCATTTGAGACACCAATGAGCTCAACATGGCTTTTCTTGGGACTATTTGAAACACTGGTGAAGATAAAAGATCCCTAAGACCAAGGAAAATGATTTAACAAAGCCAAGAGCCTGAATGCCAGGTCAGGACTTCTACTTTTGAGCACTCACAGGTAGAGCTGTAGAAGTCCCTATGATAGAACAGTTAATGTCACTGCTGCCAGCCCTGCTGTGTGCAGGCTGTGCCCTTGGACCCACAGCAGAGCAGCAATCACATCAGGGGGGTGTCAGGCAGTGCTGGGGTCACTCTGAGCCTGGCACGGGTGACCCTCAGCCTGGTGTGGGATCTGGCTGCTCAAGAGGACATCCAGCAGCAGCGTGTCCTGGGGCACAGAAGTTTGGCCTCCCTAAGAAGTGAAGAAATAAGGTCTTATTTTCGTTTTAAATGTTGTCATCATCTCTGAATGGTGTAGCCACGATTACCCAGTGTGACTAATTTCATTCTTCTCTAAGCCCATTAGTTCCAAAGATCTCATTAGGCAAGCAGAGACTTACTTGCCTCCCCTTGCATGGCCTTTACCATACCACATTTTGTGCTTATAAAAGTTTCAATGAGGAAATGTTGTGCTGAAGAATACTTCATGCAAAACAGATGGCACAACATCACTGTGCAGATTTATTCTCCACGTTATCTGCAACAACCTAACTGGTGATGCTGCAGCCTTTTAATCTAAATAGTTTGTTTAACTGGCAATATTTTATTTGAGACAATTCTCAAATTAATAGCATAATACCCATATACACAATGAAATCCAATAACAAATCAAAGCTGCTGGTTAAATAATTCATTAGTTTACAACACCATGTACCATCACAACAGAGTTTCTCATGAGCCTGGTAAGACATTTCAATTGGAAGTGGAATGGTTCTGAAGTTCTTTTCAAACACAAAAATAAAAGCTTCATTCTAACTATCCGGGGAGTTTAAAAAGTTCACAAATTTGAGCTTTAGTCTCAAAAGAATAATCTCTATTCAGGCTGAGAAATTCTCCTCATTTGATGTTGAATCATTTATTCAATTTCAAGTTGAGGTTTTTGGATGGGACAAAAATGAACAACTACCAGGAGTTTAGAAACAGATGAAGATTTTGTTTGGTCTTTTCTTTTTTCTTCTTTTTTTGTGATGCCTACTTTTATGACAGAAATAATAATAAAGCTTGCAAAGTCTGAAACTTCTCCCCAACTGACATGGATTTTGCTTTACCTCTAAAACTTGGAGCAATAGTTTCCCACTTAGCATTATACCGGCTAAGTTTAAAATCAATATTTTCAGATGTTAATGGTAAAAATCACTCTGAGATCAGCACTTTATGTGCTGCATTAATTAAAAGAAAAGCAAATTAAGGTATTTCTGTAGTAAAAACTAAGGATCTTGAAAACTAAAAGGACTGTTCTGCCACCAAATCACTTTTCCTGAGTGTATCATGTTTCCTCTCTCTTACCAGGCACTGGTGGTATATGCAGTATGTGAATGGTGATCATTTTACCCCTGAAAAAAGGCCAAGTAAAAGAAATAAAATTCAATGGCATTAGTAAACAGATGATCTTATATATCTATATTTATATATATATATATATATATATATGTATAGATATATATACACACACACACACACATGTATTACCTATCTTTGTTCTGCAACAGCTAGTTTTTCTTGTAGCTGTAAATTTAGCTCCATGCTGATCCTGGTTGAATAGAAAACAGAATAAATGACTGCATTTTTATTAGAAAAGTATTAATGCAGTGCAGGGAACCTGAGCGTAAAACTCTTCTAAAGTGGGGATGGATGCTGGCCTGGTGAGGCACAGCCTATCCTGACTGCCCTGGGAGGGCAGGACAGCAGCAGGGACAGCTGTGCCTGGGGTGACACGAGGGACAGCCAGGGCTTGGCTTTGCTCTGACCTGGAGCTGTTTATTCAAAGGTTCAAACCTGTCACAGGATCTGACCGGCTCCCCTTGTCCTCATGGGAAGAAAAAGGTTGGTACAAGTTCATTCCTGAAGAGCTCTTCAGTGCCTGCCTGAGAAAACAATGAAGAGAGAAAGCCCATTTTGAGAGGTCTCTGCTGTGTCACAGGGGCAGAATTATGGGATATAAATGAGGTGGCAGAATTCCATTTGGGGATTGCACCAACGCTGAGCAAGGAGTTGGTTTGTGATTCTCTAATGGGGGCACAACAAGCAACAAAACCCCACTGCTAATTGCTGAGGATAGAGTCTCTGGGATCCAGGTTAATTCACTGAGTCACAGAAAGCAGCTTGGCAAAAAGTAATGTTTAGATGGCAGCTCTTGTGAATGTGGCCAGAAGAACCCTGAGCTCACAGCACTCCAGGAAGCTGCAGTCGCCTCTTACCAACTTTTCAGCTGCTGTTTGAAAACTGGCTTTTTATATGGCCTGCTCTTTGTAATTCTTTTGAACTTGAAGTTAGAATAAGTCTAATTCTGTAAGTTTCTGGTTGGAGAGATAGCCCTTAGTGCCACTGAATTCAGGGCAAATGATTTCTAAATCAATAAATCATTATTTGTGATGGGGACAGACCCATCTGTTCCCAGGCAAGGACCACAGTGCCCAGCTGGGGCAGGGTGCAGGCCCATCATGTTTCCTTTTCTGGAATTCCCTGTGGTATCCTGAGGGAATCCTGCACATTTTTTCTGTGTCTAAACAGAGATTACAATACCTGTCAGAAGAGTTTTATATTTGCCAATTTCCTGAAGACCTCCTGATGAAATGCAATTTACACAGCTGTGGTTTTGCCAGCTGTGACTTGCAGACTTGTTGGGGGTTTTATCCAAATATCACCCTGCTCATCATTTCCAGTCTGTGTACACAAAATAGTTCCATGGAAGTGCCTGGTTTGGCAGGGGAGTGACTTGTTTTCAAATACAGCATCCCAGTAAAAGATGGGTTACAAAGGTTTCACCAGTAACTGCTTGTGTGTTTCCTCCCATCAGACTTAGAGATACTTTATTACTTGGGGTGAAACCTGGTCACGCTGACACTCATGGCCTTTTGAAGGTTTTTTTGAGGTTCTTTTTGTAGTTCAAAGTCCTTTTGCAATTCCCACAAAGAGTCAGGCAAAGACATGGAGAAAATTACTGGATTCCCTCTCTAAGCAGTCAATTATGCAACAAACTGTACAAGGCAGAGCCACCTTCCAGGAAATGAAAGCATTCCCCACAGCACAGCCTCGTTACCTATGCAGATCTCCAGACAAAGAGCCTGCAAGGATGAACTTTGCCTCCCCATTCCCCTCCTCACAGGGATGTCTCAGCTTGTAATCATTAATGATGGAACACTGACCGTGCAGCCTGGATATCGCTCAGAGCTGCTTCGAGGAGCCAGGAGCTGCTGAAAATGTCGAGCAGGTATCACAAAGCAGCGGCCGATGGCAACGTGGACCTGTTGAAAGAGGCCACCAGGAAAGACCTCAACACTTCTGATGAAGATGGGATGACTCCCACCCTTCTGGCAGCCTACCACGGGTACCTGGAAGCTCTGGAAGTCATTTGCCGGAGGGGGTAAGTCAGCCAGCCTCCCCTGCTTACAGCCTGGGCCTCAAAACTACAATTACTGCGGGTGTGTTTCTAAAGCCCCGGTGACCTCCAGCCCAAAAGGCTGAAAAGCACTGTAATTTCTTTAATGCATTGCCAATAACTGTTTATTTAGTGGCAGTGGTTTAGGTCCAGAGCCTGCAGGGAGGTCTCTTTGATATTTTCAGACCGGGGTTGAAGAGTTCTTCAGGTGGTCTGTCAGTGAAAGCACATCAGCACCCACAGGACCACATCGTGTCCTTCAGAGAGCAGCCCAGAGAAGCAGGGCGCCTTTCCTTTCCTCACTGGAGAAGGTTGCCAACAACCTTTGAGGATATCTTGAGACAGGCTTAGTAGAGAAATCCCTAATTTGAAACAGTTTTCACAGGAAAAAAACCTCCCATTTGCTTCCAAAGTGCAGTTAGTAGGCACTTGTGAAGATTAAATGCTATCCAGAGGCGAGTCACAACAGACAGCCTTGAGCCAGTAACATCTAAAATGGTTATTTCTGTGCTTTTTTAACAACTACCATCAGGCTAAAATGGAGAATACTGATTCAGAAGCCATGATAGGACCCTTGTAAACCATTAAAAAATGGGGAAAAAAAGGGAAAAAATGAAAGGAAGGTTTTCTACAGGTTTATTTTCTAGTAATAAAATGTCTGTATCATTTAAATGTCTTGCATGGTTAGACTGTGTTATTGAAGTGGTAATTACCTCTCCACCATAAGTAGTCTATTGCTCAGAGCCTACCTTTTAAGCTGTGATTCTGTAATAACATCTAATTAAAGAAAGTCTGCTCTTGTGTAGAGATAGAGTTAATAAAATGTTCTTTTGCAGAACAGTGAACAGATTGCAGGGAATAGTTGAATAACTATTTGGATGTATCTTTCTTTTATTAAAAATGGAGTTGAAAAAATTTTTTTTCATAGATTTGCTTTATAGCTGATTGGGCTCAGGTGTGGCTGTGGTATCACAACGAAAAAGACCTTTGGACTGCATGGTTGTTACTGTGTCCTTAAGAGAAGCAAAAATAGATTGACAGCTTTTCAACCTGTGCAATTAAGGCAGTTCCCAGGAAGTACCTGTCAATAATGTTTGTCCCTGAACACCTGCAAGCCAGAAGAACTAGATAAGGAACAAATAGATTTTTTTTTTTCAAAAGTTGAGTGAAAAATATATCTCCTACCACATAAGCTGACAGAAATCACAGCAGATGACACAAAGATCAAATTTTCTGTATATTTGTTATGTATTTCTAAGTTTTTTTCTTGCTAGAGGACAGCTTTGGGACAGTATCACCTCAAAATCTTCAAACATATGTGTTTACCTTTGTTTTAATCTAAGAATTCTTGACACAATCAGAAAGATGTGTCTATCAGAGGTATGGCTGCATTCTCATTGTGTTTTTGGGGAGAAGATGAGTTTTAGGTGATGTTCGAGCTGTTCTCCAGTCAGTTAATGTTTTCTTATGAGAAAATATTTTAATTATTTTCAACAAATTTGTCTTTTCCTTGGAGAGGTTTCCTGAAAGAGGCTCTGAGGTACAGGGCAATTTTCTTTAGAGTGGTTGCAGATTTTAGGACTCTTAAGCTTTGGCCCTTGGAAAGCTAGCAATAAACCCCTTTCATCTTGAAATAATTTGTCTTCCTGGGCATCAGGAGACATTTTCTCTGCTTGCCTAGCAGGTACATGAATAAAGGCAAGACCAAATAGCAGGATCTGCTCTCTTGTGTGAGCCTTTGCCTTGGGAAAGCAGGGAAAGGAGGAGTATGAGAACCCGGAGCAGATGTCAAACCTTGTCCAAAGTCCCACTGGGCTGGGAGCAGCCACTCGAGTCTGTCAATTGTTTGAGACTCAAAGGCTGGCAGGTTCCACGGGGAGAGGAGACCACAAACAGCTCCGAAGGGCCCTGGGGGGGACAGATGACCCGGCGCTCCCCAGGCTCAGGGTGCCCAGCCAGCTCACTAATGTGGGAATTCAGGAACCCAGCACGCCCAGCCACAGCCAGGCAGCTCCCCAGGGCACAGCCACCAAAGCAGAAATATGTACACATGGCTTCCACATGGCTGAGTGGAGAAACTTTGATCCTCAGCTGCCACCTCCTTGTGGCAAAGCCTGAGCTCCCGTGGTCGGCACAGCTGGCTCGGCTGGACCCCCGACCCTGCCTGCTCAGGCTGAAGGGTGTGCTCAGATGTGGCCCTCAACAAACCTGGCAGTGCTTTTCTTCAGAGCCCCAAAGCCAGAGATCCGTGCCTGGAGGACATTTTGTGACAAGGATGTGCCATGTCTTTCACAGCTGCCGTGGCACCAACCTCCGAGTCACTGAAATGCTTGAACTTCCAAGAGTAGAAATTCTCCTTGTAAATTTGGTCCCTGGCTCTGAAGTCAATAAAGATTTTGGGCTTCTGTGGCCACCTTGTTGGTTGGTCACAAGAGCACACAAGTTCTGTTCTGAAACTTGCCAAGGCTGACCTTGCCAAATGTGTATCTAAATATTCAAGCTGATTCTTGTCTGCAGGCAGCAGTTCAGTCTGAAGTCAGCGCAAGAGTTAAAAATCAAGCAATAGTTTTCACTGGCTTTAAATTCAATTGAAAAAATGTGGCATTTTATTTTCAAATGAACTTCTGCTTTTCAAACTATCATGACTAAAAGCAGCTTACAGAGAACAAAAGAGTTGAAAAACAATGGCATCTATCTGGGCTTAAACTAATAGCAATGGAAACAAATGGATAATCAGGGGTTTGCTCCAGGTCATTGACCTATTACCTACCTAAAAATTACTGCAGGAGCTCATTAAGTGTGTATCACTGTGGCCAGTGAGGAAACCTTCTAATATTGCCCTCTATTTGACATGCAAAAGGAACAAATCACCAAGAGCACTTTAAAATATTCCATGTAAATGTTCTTGTAACAGTTTTGTCAGTAATTCCAATGGGAATAAGTCAAAGTTTAAGCCCACTTTCAGTTGCCAAACCCTGGGACAACAAAGAAAATGCTCTGGCTCCCTTATAGGGAGATGCAGTCACAGTCAGCCCTGTGAACTTGTGTAACTCACAGGGCAGGAATCAGAGCTCATGCCACACACACAGCCACACTCAGGGCTTGTGTCAGTGGGTGCAGCCCGGTTCTAGTGGCTGGATCCAAGCTGAGCCTTTGTCCCTGGGCTGTTCTCCTCAGAGCAGAGCAGAGTGACACATTTGGTGTCTGTTCAGTGCCACTGCAGAGCTCAGTGTGGGTAGCCTAGCTCACTGTGTGCTGTTTTTCCTGGCAGGGGTGACCCGGACAAGTGTGACATCTGGGGGAACACGCCCCTGCACCACGCTGCCTGCAATGGCCACATCCACTGCGTCTCTTTTCTGATCAACTTTGGTGCCAACATCTTTGCTCTGGACAATGATCTGCGCACTCCCCTGGAGGCAGCTGCCAGCAGGGACCGCAAGGAGTGTGTCCAGATCCTGGACAAAGCTGCCACTGAGCAGAACTTGCTGAATCCAAAGAAGGTCTCCAAACAAAAGGCACAGGCCCAGAGGAACGTCGAGAGACAAATCAAGGAATGTGAGAAGCGCCAGGAGAAACACCAACATGAAATGAACCGGAATTATATTAAAGAAAAGGTTGGCACAGTGAATTCTTCCAAAGGAACACACTCCAGGGTAAAGCTGCCTGGTCTCTTTGCTTCAAATACTACAAATACTTTAACCAAAAACCTGAAAGATACCCTGAAACTCAAGGCAAAAAAGACAGCTGACAGCACAAGAAGGCAGGAAACACAAAGAAATGACCAAGAGGATGATATGGGTAGGAAAAGTGTGATGCATTTGTTTGATGAGAAAGAGGAGGATGAATTACTGAATGACCTTGGAGAGAGAAACTTTGCTGGTAATGACAGTCAGCTCTCCATTTTTCAGCGGCCGGGTCTTGGCAAGATTGTGTTTGGAAGGAATTTGGCTGCAGAGGTAAATCCTGAAACTGTGTCTTCTGAGAAAGAAGGTATGAGAGTTACAATAGCCAGTGAGCTCTTTCAATATGAAAATACTGAGAATGGCAGGGAAGATGATGCTGAAAACAGTGCTGATGTCCCTTGGAATGAGGAAGAAGTTGTTTGGGATGATGAGGAAACAGAAAATACGCCCCTTGAGGTATTTCTGGCATCACAGATGCTGGATGAGTTTCTTCCGGTCTTCATGAGGGAAAAAATTGATTTAGATGCCCTGATGCTATGTTCTGATGAAGATCTACAGAGCATTCAGATAGAGCTTGGGCCAAGAAAGAAAGTCCTGAATGCTGTGAATAAAAGAAAACAGGCACTCGAGAACCCTGGAAAAACTATAGACACTTGCTTATAAATTATCATAACTGTTGTTGTAACCTCCATGCTGATTCATTATCTTTCCCTTTCTCCAAAGAGTGGTCAGCTCTTTTCAGAAGTCTGCTAAGGCAAAAGGCAGAGAGGTTACCAATTTCCTTAGGAAGTACAGCAGGAATAACAATTTTTCTCTCTGGATGGGTAGTTGTGATGAATGGGATATTAAGTATATTCTGCCAAAAAGCAAGAATGTGAAAGTAAAAACCAAAAAGCTTTTTCTCCCTGAACTGTTTATGTGGATTGGATTTGTTTTGGTCCAGATAATTTCAAGTATCAATGAAAGCCAGGCCTGCTGCATTCCTTAATAAAGCCCTTCCTTTCTTCTCCAAAACCACAATAGAAAGAGCATTTTCAGAGCTTGAGAGCTTTGGGGTTTCTCCATTCACTTCTGTGGGATCAGTAAAACCACTCTTCCTAGTACTGATGGAACATTAGGAAAGGAATCTGGATCTTGATTTTAGCTGTGGTTTATTGACTCTAATCACCTCTAAATTAATGTAAATAAGACTAATTTACAGCAAGTTTCATATATTTGTCAGTAAAGTTTTTGCTTCTGTATTGACAATAATTTAAAAATACATGAAGTAGCTTCCCAAGAGATGTTCAGTGTGAGTTGTATATTCCTTTCTTGTCTCATTAGACTGTATCCAATTGCCAGCACCCATCATGTCCTAAATGTCATCAAGGCTGCAATACTTTTAACTACAAGTAGCTGAGGTTTAATTTTCAAAATTTTGGATCTATTTTGGTATAACCCCAGCTTGGTTCCCATAGGCTGCATTTTTCATGCAAAGTCCCAGAAATGTGGATTCATATCACACCCCATTTTCTGTGGGCTGTTGTCAGCCTTAGCCTGAGAGCTGTGTATCACACACACAGCTCATGAAAATAAAAAAAGAAAATGAGCTGTGCTGCTGTGGAAGAGCCTGCTCTTCACACTATCTGCAGGCATTCACAGTAGGGTTCTCCTGTTCCCTTGGGAAGCCAGCACTATCAGATACAAATTAATCATTCCTGTTGAGTTTTGTGAATCTAATGAAGTGCTTTTAGGAGCCATGCTCTGGCTAAGATCACAGATTTTAGATGCACATTCATTAGCAGAACATTTATCTCTAAAGCTCTTTTTGTATCTTTCCATTAGCCAGCTATGAGTTTTTCCTTAGGGGTATACTTCATTTGTGGATGCTAATCCTGGTTAATGATCTGTTTTTTCATGTTTCTTCTTTCCATATAATCTTGTGACTGTGATTTGTATATTATAATATCTTTTCTTCAATGGACTTTATACTGCATTCTTCCCTGCTTGGATTCCTGTACACTGCAGGTTGATATGTTCTTGTATTAAGCAATCACATCAAAGGCCCGTTCTGTGCAACCTTCCATGATTGCTTTTTCCACTCATGTGCTTTGCTGTTTTCAGATTTTATCAACCCCTTTGTTTCCTTTAGAGTTTGGAAGCACTGGAATCCTAGCTGTGACTCCTTTCAGTTCAGTTGGAGAGACTTTATGTATTACATGTACAATGCTGCACCAGAAGCCAAACCCAAATCATAAAACCAGGCAATCTCACACAAGCACAGCCCTGCCAAGTACAAGGTTCTCCTTCCTTAAGGGTTTAATACTCTGCCCTGAACAGACATTAAGAAAATGCACAGCACAGGACAACTGAAAAGCTGAGTATCACAGAGGAACAGGGAACTCCCTATTTCTTCCATTTACATTCAGTGATCACATTTACTGGGAGAGCAGTCATTGCAATAACTTGAATGCTTTCTTGTCATCAAATAAATCAACCACAAACCAGAAAAGAAATGGACAACAAAATGAGTGTCAAAGAAAAACAGCAGTATCTATTTAATTTTAATATAAATGCAAGTTACACAATTTCATGATCTGTTAGTTTGTAAGAGAAGGAAACATAGAAATTGATGCTATTATTTCCCCTCAGAAAATCTACAAGTGGCATCCAAGCAATTCCCATTGCAACTGAACCAAATCCTCTTCATGACATCAGAGGTACAACACCGAAGCCAGGTTCCCAAAATCTCCCACTGCCAATGAAGCTGAGAACAATGTGGGTAGTCAGAACCAGGTCTTTGGACTGGCTCAATTTATTTTTTTAAAGTGCATAGTCTGTAGAGGAGTACATGTGAAAATAAACTGGACTTGTCTTCTTCTCAAACACTACATCTCACTTCAAATTTCAAATCTGGTATAACAGTGGCTCAGAACTGGGATAATACTGTCATAATTATTAATTGCAAATTTCCATGGAATTCTTGAATAATGGAGCATCATGCTTACCTCAGGTTAGCATAGTTCTGCATGAACATACCAACAAACAACAAACTAAGTCAACACAAACTTCTGAACACCTCAGAAATGACAGAGAAGAAACAAGACGTAAAAACAGAAGAGTAATTTTGCTACAATTTAAACACAGAAGCTCATAGAGAAATGTCTGTTATTTTTTCTGATGGAATAAACAGGATCAGTGGAGTTCAGTTTGGATCCACATGAAACATCTTTCAGGCCTATCAGCGGTCTGGTACCTTTCTATGCTACCTCCACCACTTAGTACATTTTCCAACTAGCTTACACCAGGCTTACAACTGGGAGTATTATTTACATCACACCTGCACTGTACTCATTAACCTCTCCTACACTTACATGCACCCTCCAGGGCTTTGGTGCCAGCTGCTCCTGACCCTCGTTCCTGTTGCTCTGCTCTATTCTACTGGCATGTTATAAAATGCCCTGTCATCCAACTGTTCCATAGCATGAAGCATCACTTAATAGCCTGCATGAAATAATATGTAAATGGAAATTAAATTTCACAAAGCACATCTTGTGAGCCTGAGACAGGAATTTGTTTCCAGGGCAATAGTTGTTTTTCAGCAGATGCTCACTCTTTTGCAAGGCAGTTGAATAACAGCACAAAACTGGAACTTTTCCTTATGTCACTGCGTTCCTCTGCCAGGAAAGGATCATGAAAATTCCTGCCCCAGCTAATATCTGTGATAATAGAACAATTAGCAATTGAAGCATGGTACAGCCAAACTGAAAGTATTTGCCTGTATACTTGAAATCAATTCCAGCCTCCAAGAAGCTTAGAAAAACAACTTAGAGGCACCATAGATTAACAGTAAAATCTCCCTACATAATTGAGATAAAAGTTAAATCAAACCACATATTAGTTCTCACATCCTGTGTGACACCTTGCAATTTGAAAATGGCAATATCCCAGGAGGCATGTACTAAGAGAGGTCCTGAGCAGAAACCCAGCTGTAGGGAGGTATTGTTATTACATAAACCCCCACTCAGAACTGTGCCCTTAGTGAAAGACCACCCAGTCTAAGGGCAAAGGAAGGTAGATTGCAAGGGGCAAAAAAATTGGTGACTTCCAGTGAGCTGGAAGGGAAGGTGTGTCCAGGAGTTAGAGGTGGGATGTGTGTCTAGGAGGCTGAAGACAAGGTCACTGTCACTGGAGCACTGAAACCCACAGTTGTATTAAAGTACCATCACAGGTGAATATGATGCCAGAGTCCATTCTACAAACTGATCTATTTTACGCCAGAATTAATTATCCATCTAAAAACCCTGAAATCTACACACAGGCTTCTGCTACATAAATAATTTGAGATGAAAGGCATTGATTACAGAATGATACCAAAAAATGGAAAGATACCCTTGTTAGTATCACTGCAAACATCTAATACTTGCTGTTACAAAAGAGACATTTATTAACAACACTGAAAGTATCTAATACTTGAAATTAGAAGACTTTAGAAATTAGTATATTGCTGAAATTTCACTCTTTCTTCTTGAATGTTCTAGAAGGGCCACATTTAGATAGTATTGGTGCCTTTCTTGTTAACACAGGATTCAAGGAAACTAAGTGCAAACTATTTTCTTGGCCTCATTGGCGTTGTAGACTTCTCTCTTTAGTTACCAGCTGACCATGCATCATAAACAAATTTCGCTGCTACTGTGTCTTCAACTGCCATCCCTGAAAAAGAATTGAAGTTACCTTCAAACAGTTATTCAGCTGTACAAATAATTTTTCTTCAGAAGGGAACAGGAAGACTCAGGAGATTATCTAACTGGACAGGCACAGGAATTATTTCTCATCCCAAACACCTACAGTGTCACATTCAGAGTTTATAGCCATCATGCAGTGTTGGGTGTGCTGTAAGAAGTTAATGTAACAGTAGGAATTTAATTTTCACTGTTCATATCACAACTGGGCCCTTTTGGAGATGTCATGTAGCTCAGAGCATGGTAATTCATCCCCAGTGGCACCCTTTCCCAAACCCCAGCCCCACAGGACACTGTCACATTGTCTCAGGTCAGACAGACCCCACGGGTGGAACAGCGGGGCAGTCGGGCTGCAGCTCTATTAATAAATGCTGCAGTCATGTCTTGAACAACTGTGAAATGGAAAATGGACTTCCATTGTTTGCCTGCTTTCCTATCACTTTTCATTACATCAATCCTGCTAGATAAATAAGAAGGGAAATAAAAAGGGAAAATGCAAATCACAGTCTACTTTCTTGTGGACAGTGCATTGCCACAGCAGTTCTGAAGATGATCAGCAGCTTTCCCACGCATGGGGGACCTAATAAAGAACAAGGCATTGTTTTCTGTCAGACTTAGACACAGGAGGGGCTGTTCTTACCCAACGATTTAAACACTGTTGTTTTCTCAGGCAGGGCTGGTTTTGTACCCTTCAATACCTCCCCCAGCTCAGCAAAAATCTCCGCCTGTGAAAAAAATACATATTTATACAAAAACATAATACTCATACATACATTAAGAGGAAAAAAAACCCTTTTCTTCTGAGTGACTTCAAAAGAAAGAACTCCTCCAGTGCTGCATCCCAAACCTGATTACTTTCCATGGTGAAGCAGATCAACATTCAGACATATTATATAGAAACTGGACAGAAATCAGAGGAGCAGAATTGTTTTCAAAGAAAAA